TTGCTTAATTTCATATGACTTGGTGTTATTTTTAGCATACAAAACCCGATATGCCAACAGATACTGTATAGTCATTAATATGAAAGGAGACTTCCACGGCCTTAGTGGAAAGAAAGAGTATTTCGAAGGATTTCAGAAAGCCATTCAGTTTGAAGTAACTGCTTCACGACTTCTTTTAAATCTAATATTTGTTTATAGATGTTGAATTCCGCTGCCGAATATCGCTTGTGCAAATATTATAAAAACTCGCAACTAATGGAAATCGAGTAAGATACATTTAGATTTAATTTCTTTTGTATTTGCAAAAATCCCTCCTATGTCTGACTTCCACTACCTCATCGCTATAAGAGGGTCACAGCGAGTCCTGAAGGGACGAGACAACACTCCCCAACCCGCTTTATCAGAATGCTAGGCTATAGTCAAATCCTCAAAGGGGAAATCACATCTGAAGCCAAGATTTTCATTCCCCAAATGCTGGATTTCCACCTGTACAGACAGCAGCTAATCAGACATACAGGCAGGGGGTACTGGAAATACTCGGATGACGGGTCATATTTTTTTTTCAAATAACGATTCATTAGTTTGAGCATAGCCATTGAAATTATTGTTTGTCTAAATTTTGTTTAAGCGAATGCTAAGGCATGTTTTTCTCTGACACATTTAATCGGTAAAATATTATACCTAGGGCAATGCGTTTGAAATTATTTGTCATGTTCTTCAAATAGAAACAACTTTTAATCCGAAGATCATCGTGTTGTTCAAATATTGGTCAAACGCTTTTGGCTCTCAGAATTTTTCACAAACTCACTGCTACCAAATTCAAGCGAAAGTCCCGCGACATTAGTCACCCGTATTCCCATTGATCTGAAATATGCAGATTATATTAGCCTTATGCAATACTCTAGTAACTTTGTTCCAAGAGTTCTTTGATTCTTTAATGATACTAAGAATAAATTGGTCTCAAGGTATCTGGACAGAAGTTTCTGCAATTTAACTTTGTAGTGGGTACGCTGGCCGCAGAATGTGAAGAGGTGCAACGCAGATGAAGGCTTGGAATATTTCTGCAGTGCAAATGATGCTTAACTCCAGCCAAGTCAATGGTCCTTTCAGTGGATAACAGCGATTGATTGGGTGATACAACCACTCCAGTTCCACACAGCGTTCGTTGCTTGCAGCGTCAAAAACGCACTGCCATATACTTGAGACTTGTACTGTAAATTTATCTATGATTCGACCATGCAACGTGGTCAAAATGAATTATCTAAAATTTTCAAACATCTATTTAAGTCGTATGGTTTGGTTTTCTCTTCAGTTTCAACAATTATTCATACTGTCACTATGGAGAAACACGTGACATCTCATCTCAGAATATCTAGACTCTGTTTTGTACTCGTACCGATGTTCTACAAAATGTCCTAAAAACTCTGCATAGCATTATTTCATATATCACAGCAGTTAAAAGATGCTCAAATTGATCTAACCATATATCATGCCGAAAGACTACCAGATTTTGGTTTCAAGGGAGATAGGATATCGTAAAGGAGCCGTTTTGCGCATGGCTGTGGAGGCTTACACGACGATGGAAGGCTTAAAGTTAGCGTGGCCTCAACTAGTGGACAGCGTCGGTGACGCTCTCGGTTTCGTCAACGCCACGATAGCGTCTGGTAATAATCGTTTCGATCATCTATTACTTACATTGCTGTTAATCTTTTCAGGCTACTCCGATGAGTGCTTTGCATTCGTTGCGCCCAAATAACCTCGTTGATTAGGCCGCAGTGCTCTGTGTATCAATTGTGCGCCTTCATATTCCTTGTTTAGTGTCAAAATTACGAGTTATTGTTTGGTTGCATGAATAAATCTTTAACGAATTTTGAAATTCCTATTTATTCATACAAATGTGTTTAGGATCGGTGATAATTTGCGATTTTCTGATATTCATAATGATTTTACATCTTAAAGCTAATGAACTTGTGTGTCCTGACCTAAAGCACCTAAGTTATGTAAAACGA